AAATACTTTTTTCTTTAATTTTTGTATTTTCTTAAAAATTTAGCTGATGTATTATAATGAACAATGTTTTTATTTTCGCTTAGTGGACATATTTGGGATTACAATTAAGATTCCAAATTTACAACAGTGTAGTTTGAATAATACCATCTTCTTTGGATTACCGCTATAGTCTTGATAATAAAAACTGCCCTGTGCTAATGTATCTTTCTGTATATTGTTATGATTCCAGATTTATCTTTAAACACTGTCTTCGCATTAAAATATATAAAAGAATGAAAAGGCGCCGGGTTCTAGTCCCAGTTGCTCCTCTTCCAGTCCAGTTGTCTGCTGTGGCCCAGGAAGGCAGTGAAGGATGGCCCAAGTGCTTGGGCCCTGCACCCACATGGGAGACTGGGAGGAAGCACCTGGATCCTGGCTTCGGATCAGCGCAGCTCCAGCCATAGCAGCCATTTGGGGAGTGAACCAACGGAAAGATTTTTCTCTCTTTCTCTCTCTCTTATTGTCTATAACTACCTGTCCAAAAAAAAAAAAAAAAAAAAAAGAATGAAAGGGAAGAGCTCTGGATTAAAGAAAGTAAAGAATTTGTTGACTAGCTATGCCTTTCAAGGACTGAGAGTAGAATGACATCAAATAAATAAATAACACTGGTAAAGATAAGTGCATTAGAAAATTTATAACAATCAGTATTTTACTATTCTTCATTTTTATACTCTACAAAATGCAAATATATGAAATAGCAGTTGAATATATTCAAATTGGCAGAAATATGGGATGCAAGCAGCAGCTTATCTCTCTATGCCATGTGCCTGATGGCTGTATTTTATTTTTTTAAATGATCACCATGTGTTAGATTAGAATTTACATACAAGTCAATTATTTTTTTAATTTATTTGACAGATAGAATTAGACAGAGAAAGACAGAGAGAAAGGTCTTTTCCTTCTGTTGGTTCACCCCCCAAATGGCTGCTACAGCCAGTGCACTGTGCCGATCTGAAGCCAGTAGCCAGGTGCTTCCTCCTGGTCTCCCATGGATGGCACTTGGGCCATCCTCCACTGCCTTCCTGGGCCACAGAAGAGAACTGGACTGGAAGAGGAGCAACTGGGGCTAGAACCCGGTGCCCATATGGGACGCCGGCACCACAAGGCAGAGGATTAACCAAATGAGCCACAGCATTGGCTCCCAAGCACTGTATTTTAAAGGGGAACAAAAATACATTTTAGTTTTTCATATTTGGTCTGTGTTTTCACATTCCTTTAATACCTATCAGAATTGTTTATAATTCCTGCTCATGTTTAGACAATATGTAAGCCTAAATTGAAAGTTCAAGGTTTTTATGCTGTCATGAGCATGTAATTTTCTAAATCCCTCACTATCGTTGGCTGCTTTGTCACATCTTGATTTTCTCCAGATAGTGAAGAGGGTGGGGAGCTTTTAATCTTTTCTTTTATCATCTATTAGATGTATCAGCTATAAATTTTCTCTCAGCAGTGTAAATTTTGACTAGTTCCTGGCGTTTTATCATGACTTAGTGCTGTATTAAACAAGAGATGTGTATGTTTTCAGCAGTTCTTCAAGTGATCCCAAGACAGCTAGTACAAACGCAATTATTTTCAAATAAGCCCTGCTTTGCCCCTTCCAGAATCAGAGATCAGGGTGTCACATTGATAATATGGTCTGTCATTAAAAACCTCAACTGTATCATACAGAAGGTAGTAATGCAATTTCACCATGAAATGTTTTTTAAAGTTCTCTCTTTTATTTTTTTAATTTAATTAATTTATTTGAAGGGTAGAGTTAGAGAGAGAGAGAGAGAGAGAGAGAGAGAGAGAGAGAGAGAGAGAGAGAGATCTTCAATATAGCGGTTCACTAGATTGCCGCAATTTCCTTTCCTGGGTGAGGCCAAAGCCAGGAGCCAGGAGCTTCCTCCAGGTCTCCCACATGAGTGCAGGGGCCCAAGGACTTTGGCCATCTTCTGTGCTTTCCCAGGCATATTAGCAAGAAGCTGGATCTCTAACTGACTTTCAAATCAATCAATAAATAAGCATATTTATATATATGCAAATACATATATTTAAAATATATATTAAAATCTTTAGAGAACAAAAAATATTTTAGCTAGGTGACTGTTAGTAAATAATCTAAAGTGAAAGAATGCAAGAGAATAAAAGTAATCATACAAGATTATACAGCAGAAAAAACAAATGTGAATGCCCCTAGTTCATACCTATTTGACCGGTTAGAAGAATGGAAGAATGATTGAAAGTAGTGATTTGTATGGCTGAAGCAGTGTTACAAGGGTGGTTAGTAAATAATATGAAGGTATAAGGATAACATACGGTCTGTATATGCTGTGTAAAATTTTATAGGTCATTGTCAGAACTTTGAGCTACTACATAATTGAAGGTGGAGTCAGTGTCCAGTTCAGAGTTGGAGAATTATTTGTTACTGAAGTCTACTAATTACACTCTAGAAATGCTGCTACCTTTCCTCTAATTCATAGAGTTTTAAACACCATTGAAAATTAGGTTAATAGTATTCAGTCGTCCTTAACTTCAGAAAATTATGAAGGAAAGCAAATAGATTACCCTGTTTGGATGTAATTTTTGAATACCATCTTTGCTTTTTATAAATCAGACAGACTTTTTGAAATCCTTGAAAGTTCTTTGGGATTAACTTTGGGTAAATATGAGAGAAAGGAGCACCACTAATGTTATTTACTAAGCTGAACCTTAGAATTTGTTTTCCCTTTCTTCCTCTTACTTTCTGTGTCGTCGTCTTTTCCTTCTCTCTTTCTTCCTGAAAAATACTGATAAAAAAAATGAAACATCAGACAGACAATCTTCAGGGTGCTTCAAAAGAGGAGTAAAACAAGATAAATGGTATTTGAGAAATATTCTGGAATGCCTGTGGTAATACAGGCATTTCCTAGTTTCCATACACATACCAAATCACTCAACTTTTATTTCTTGATTTTTAATGTTAATTAACAATGTTTTCTATTGAACAGGTCTAAGACAAATCATGTTTTCTAGAGTTATTGTGGGGATTGCTAGAAATTTTGTTCTTAAGTGGTTAGTAGGCAGGTAGTTCCTGTAACTTGAAGAAAAAAATTTAAAGAATGTTTGTATAAAGGTCATGTTTGATTATTGTACTTGTGCTCTCTGTTGTTACAATAGAATCAAAAATAAATTTATCCACAAAATACAGAGAAAGTAAAAATGAATAGATGAAGCTTTAATAGAGTAATAGGAAAATTAAATGTAAAAATTAAAAATGAAGACAGGAGAAAGATTAATACATAAAATATAAAATCCTTTACATTTAAACCACAGTTTGTTTCAGAAGTAGAGCAGGTAACAGGAATACAGTAATGTAATTATCTACATTTAAAATGTAAAGTAAGTCAACATTTAACACCTAAAATGCCTTTCTTGATGCCAGGTACTTTCATCAACATAGCGAAACTCCTACAGCATCAAACAGCTAACTTTTGTGAAACTAAGTAGAACAAAATTCATTGCTTTGGGTATTGCTATGCTGATCATGTACATTCTCTGAACAAAGCTGTGAAGTTAAGGCAATGGCAGACTTTAAACAGGTTTAAGTGAGCTTGCATCATTTGTAGAAGCCACATCATTCCGATGAAGCTCTTGTTGGTTTTTGGAATCTTTACTTCATGAGCCAACTTTTTAAAGTAAATCCTGGCACTAGTTTATGAAATATTTTTAATTGAGGCAGATTTGCTTTGTTAAATAGCTTTAAAGTGAATTTTCGTTGCAGCATTTTCCCATGGTAATAGAACATTGAATCATTTCCAAAATTTGAGAGAACTTTAAAATATTAATTTTTAAGAGAGATTAAAGATTTTTTTGCCTTAAACAAGTAGTGTTTATTGACTTTATAATCATTATTGAGCATGTCCTCTGATGTAGTTTTTTTTTAAAGATTTATTTATTTGAAATCAAAGTTACAGAGAGGAAGAGAGAGAGGGAGAGATGTCTTCTGTCCACTGATTCATCCTCCGATCAGAGCGAGGAGCCAGGAGCTTCTTCTGGGTCTCCCACGCGGGTGCAGAGGCCCAATGATTTAGGCCATCTTCTATGGCTTTCTCAGGCCATAGGAGAGATTTGAATCAGAAGTGAAATAGCAGGGATGCAAACCAGTGCCCATATGGGGTGCCAGCACTGCAGACAGCAGCTTCACCTAGTAGGCCAGAGTGCCAGCCCCTCTGCTGTAGTTTCTAAAATTTTAGCAGTTAGTAGGTGAATGAATGCTTCTGGCATGTTTATTCTAGAGGACTGAAAACAATTTTATAATCAGATGAAATTTCTTATATTGAATTCAGAGGTCAGTTAATAACCATTGCCTCTCAGACAGGATATTATGCAATATAATGCTGAATGATTTTCAGAATACAGAATCATTGATGTGGCTTTTTAACATAATCTCTTCCTGAGATTAATGATGTAAAAAGGGCCCAAGAATTTGCTTCTTAGGCATTCCCAGCTAATCTAATAATGCTTATCTAGCAACCACATTTCAAGAACTGCTTTTATCAGGAATATCTCTAGCTATCTTGAGTTCCCATTAGTTCTTTGCTCCAAAGCATACTTCACTGAAAACAACTAAGGAGGCTGAAAAATACATAAAGGGCTTACTGGAGATGAATTTCCAGAATTTCTTTTTCCATGCTTGTTTTTAAAATGATCTGTCTCTCCACCAACCCACCCACATGTTGTATTAAAAATTCTGAAAAATCCACACATTTGAAGAGTATTATTAGCAGTAATGTTTCCAGTCTGTTGTTTGGCATTTTGTTTTCAATTCCCTGACAAACACCTTATTGTTCATATATTCTTGTTTGTTAACTAAATGCTAACTAAGGGACTCCCTAATATTTTTGTTAATTCATATTCCTTGATAAAGATATATCTGTGTTGGATCATTTTGTTGTTATTCATGAAGGTAACAAAAAATCAATACAATTTTTTTTCTCTAGAACTGTTCGCCAGTTAGCACAAGAGCAGTTTTTTCTGATGTGTACCAGATGTTGCATGGGACATAGGCCTCTGCTTTTCTTCATCACTCTACTCTTTACTGTTTTGGGGGTAAGACATTTTTAGCTGAACCTATCAATGTGATTCATTCTTAAAATGGAAAGACATTCAGAAATTTTAATTATTTTATTAAACTTTGAGTAGTTGTGATTTAATGAAGTACTATAACATTTGTATACTGCTTTTTACTTGTTTCTTGTAAAAGACTAGGAAAAAATTTACTACTTTAACTGGAAGAATGAAAACCGAAGAACTTATCATTTATATCTGTGATGTATTTCCACAATTTCAGTTCACTAATATGGATTCTGAGTATAGACTTACAAATTTACATTGCTTAATGTACTATTTCAGAGCACAGCAAGAGAGAGGGGTAAACATTCTGGTGAATATTTCACACTTTTACGGCATCTTCTTAATTACGCTTATAACAGTAATATTAATGTACCTAATGCTGAGGTTCTTCTCAACAATGAAATTGATTGGCTCAAAAGGATTAAGGTAAGTTATAGAATACTTATTTTTAAAGATTTTATTTATTTATTTGAAAGTTAGAGTTACACAGATTGAGAAAAGGCAGAGAGAGGTTTTCCATCCGTTGGTTCACTTTCCAGTTGGCCGCAACAGCTGGAGCTGTGCCAGTCTGAAGCCAGGAGCCAGGAGCTTCCTCCAGGTCTTCCCACATAGGTTCAGGGGCCCAAGGACTTGGGCCATCTTCTACTGCTTTCCCCAGACCATAGTAGAGAGCTGGATTGGAAGAGTAGCAGCCGAGACTCGAACCAGCGCCCAAATGGAATGCCAGCACTGCAGACAGTGGCTTTATCGGCTATGCCACAGCACCAGCCCCTTCAATACTTATTTTATACCATTCCTGAGTGAATGTTCTTATTAAAAACATGAGAATAATAAACATATACTGTTCATAATAGACATATTGTTCATGATGAATTCATAACTAAAATAATTCAGCAGTGAGTCATAGAAAAAATTCACAACTAGTTTTACTTAAATTTGACTTGGAGTTTGATACTCAGATTCTTACACTTTGATATTTTTAGACTGTGTTTGCTAATGATCATTATGTACCTTCAACTCAGAGTATTATAGGTTAGCATTATTAAGCCATCTGATATCTTGCATTATATTTTTTGTGAGAACATATTTTTTAACTTTATTAGCTTTGGCTTTCAGATTAACATCCTTCTAGTATTTTATAATTGAGCAGGATTTATTCAAAACACAGACAGAGCTCTGTTGAGATTTGGGACTGGGCCAGTCTAAAGGTGGGTGCCAGGAACTCAATCCAGGTCACCCACATGAATAGCAGGGTTTCTGTGTACTTTAGCCATTTCCTACTGCCTCCCAGGTAGTATTAGCAGGAAGCTAGAATAGGAAACAGAGCCAAGATCCAGACTTTAGTACTCCAGTTCTGTATGTGCACTCCCTAATCAGTCCTTAACCACTGTGCCAGTTGTTCACCTTGGAAGCAGCATTTCTATTCCTTTGCATTTACATTTTGGACCAAAATTCCTTTTTGTGAGGAATTAACTTTTAGATTGTAGTATGTTGGGCAGCATTCTTGAATCAAACTCTAGACACTATAATAATCTCTGTCAGTGCCCACCTGTAAATCCAAGTATTGTCTCAATGTCCCTGGGAGGAAAACTTGCTCACATTTAACTCTTGTGTAGGGTTTTAAAAAAAAAATAATAAACTACCTAGATGGAAAAGTTTGGCCATCTAGGTAGTTTATTATATTTGAGATCACCTCTGTCTCTTGTTCGTAGTGATTCTTCTGTCCTTACCTATCTTATAAGTTAGGCCTGTGAAATTTCCTTTGGCAGGATGATGTTAAAAACACAGGTGAAACAGATATTGAAGAGCCAATCTTGGAAGGACATCTTGGGGTAACAAAAGAGTTGATTGCCTTTCAAACTCCTGAGAAAAAGTATCACATTGGTTGTGAAAATGGAGGTGCCAATCTTATTAAAGTAAGCTTTAAATTTTTATCCTAAGCTAATCATTATTGGTTTGCATGTGGGTCTTCTTGAGCTCTTTAGTATTATGCTTCAAACGCTATTCTGATCTTTATTATTTATAAAAACGTTTTAATGCTATAAAGTTACTGTAATTTTTAAACATGTGCCTCACTTGACAAGGTTTATTTTAGTAACTACAAAAAAGCCAGATAAATGCTTTGAAAAGTCAAGTAGGCAGAGTTATTTGATTTTGCTGTTTCATAAATCTCAGTTCTTATTTGATCTTATTTCAAAATGGAAATACCTCTATCTTGCAAGGCTGTGTATATTTTATATATTATGTCATATTTTCTGATAATTGTATATGCCTTATAATTCAAGTAAAAGAGTTCAATTCTGATATATTTTATTTTTATTTCAGTTTGAATCTGATTCAAGGAGTTTTTATTTAGAATATAATTTTCTTTAGTATGATTCTCATCTATTTTTCTTTGGAGTTTTTAAAGTATCTAATCTGGAAAATAATTGTTTATTAATTTTACTGAGTACTTTTTTTCAAAGATTTTATTTATTTGAGAGGTAGAGTTACAGAGAGAGAGAGACAGAAAGGAAGATCTTCTGTCCACTGGCTCACTCCCCAAATGGCTGCAATGGCTGTACTGCTGATCCTAAGCCAGGAACATGGAGCTTCTTCCAGCCCTCCTAAGAGGGTGCAGGGTTCCAAGGACTTGGACCATCTTCTGCTGATTATCCGGCAGAGAGCTGAATCGGAAGAGGAGCAGCAGGGACTAGAACTGCTGTGCATATGGGATGCCAGCATAACAGTACCAGCCTGAGTATTTTTAAGCTATAGTTTATATTACTAGAAAATCGAAAATTGCTTTTGCGATATAATGAGATATTAAATCATGTAATTATTAAAGTTTCAAAGAGACAGTTTTTCGAAAATACATGTTTTACTAATAATATGTGACTTCTTTTAATATCTATAGGAATTAATTGATGATTTCATCTTTCCTGCATCCAAAGTTTACCTGCAATATGTAAGAAATGGAGAGATGCCAGCTGAACAGGCTATTCCAGTCTGTAGTTCACCAGCTACGATCAGTGCTGGTTTTGAACTTCTTGTGGCATTAGCTGTTGGTTGTGTAAAAAATCTCAAAGAGATAGTAGACTGTTTGACTGAAATGTATTACATAGGCACAGCAATGACTAGTAAGTATTTTAAATGGCAAAGCTGTTTATATTGGCTAATATTTCATTGTTTAAGTTCTGATTTTTCCATTTGTAGAAAACTGTCAGTATGCTTTTTAAGCAACAAGTTTAAACATTTTTATTAGGTGTATAATTAATACTATTATACAGTGTGAGAAGATTAACACAGAAAATTTTCCACATTTATAAATGGCTCCTATAGATGTCTTAGGTAGCTTAACGTAAAATTTTTTTAAAGATTTTTTTTGAAATAAATAAATATTTACAGAGAGAAAGAAAGAGAGGTCTTCCATCTGCTTGTTCACTCCCTAAATGGCCACAACCACCAGAGCTGGGCCAATCCAAAGCCAGGAGCCAAGAGCTTCTTTGGGGTCTCCCACATGAACAAAGGGACCCAAAGACATAGGCCATCATCTGCTGTTTTCCCAGGGGAAATGGAGCAGCCAGGACTGGAACCAGTGCCCACAAGGGATGCTGCCGCTGCAGGCTGGAGCTTTAACCCATTATGCCACAACACCAGCCCCTAGAGGTTTTATTTAATCATATGTAAAGTGAAATCCAAACTCTTTAGCAGCAAGAAGTCAGTTAATGCCAGTTAGTTATATAATCAATTTTATGCTTTGGAAAGATTTTCATGCCCTAGCTTACATTTCGCATGCTTTTTTTTTAGTTTTTTTTTTTTTGTTTTTTTTTTTTTTTTTTTGACAGGCAGAGTGGACAGTGAGAGAGAGAGTGACAGAGAGAAAGGTCTTCCTTTACCATTGATTCACCCTCCAGTGGCCGCTGCGGCCGGCACGCCATGGCTGGCACACTACGCTGATCCGATGGCAGGAGCCAGGTGCTTCTCCTGGTCTCCCATGCGGGTGCAGGGCCCAAGCACTTGGGCCATCCTCCACTGCACTCCCTGGCCACAGCAGAGAGCTGGCCTGGAAGAGGGGCAACCGGGACAGAATCTGGTGCCCCGACCAGTGCTAGAACCCAGTGTGTTGGCACTGCAGGCGGAGGATTGGCCTATTGAGCCGCGGCACCGGCCACATTTCGCATGCTTTTAAATTTAAGTTCTAAGGAAGATAGGTTTGTTTGAAGCTCTAAGAATGTGACAAGAAAACCTTTGTAATTTATTATGTTCTCAGTAACCACATCAGTCCTAAAAACTGGGTAGTTGCTTTTAACCCCTGGGAGAAGTAGGAAACAATAAATAATGTAACACAAAAATTATACCATTGAATCTATTCCATTTTAAAGACAAAAAAGAGCTTATCATTGTGATTAACTGTAGCATTCTTTAAGAACACTTAAAATTATCTTTGTTAGACCGTCTCTAAGTTTTACAAGCTTCTAAATGTATTGCCCAAGATCTTTTTATTTATCCTGTGGTATCTGTTTAAAAGTAGACATTGATTTTCATAAAATACTTAGTCTTCTAAGTTAATTGGTTAAGCTAATACTCTTTCATGGTTTTATTTTTATTTCTTTAAGATTCTTTTTGTGAAACAAAAAGAACAAAATTACTTTAGAGGGCTGGCGCCACGGCTCACTAGGCTAATCCTCCACGTTGCGGCGCCGGCACGCCGGATTCTAGTCCCAGTCGAGGCACCGGATTCTGTCCCAGTTGCCCCTCTTCCAGACCAGCTCTCTGCTGTGGCCCAGGAGTGCAGTGGAGGATGGCCCAAGTCCTTAGGCCCTGCACCCCATGGGAGACCAGGATAAGTATCTGGCTCCTGCCATCGGATCAGCGTGGTGTGCCGGCCGCGGCGGCCATTGGAGGGTGAACCAACGGCAAAGGAAGACCTTTCTCTCTGTCTCTCTCTCACTGTCCACTCTGCCTGTCAAAAAAAAAAAAGGATGTAGAGTAAGCTCATAGTTTATACTCAGTACTTTCAAATATACAGTCTTACTGTTTCCTCAAAAAAGGCTAGAGATACAGATAAAGAACTTGTTACTCTGTTACTTTTTAATAAGGAATGAAGCATGGGTTCATGTTTTGGTAATAGTCTTTATGAATCTAAACAGTGGCTTGAATCTAAGTGATAGTATATGCAATGAAAACTAAAAATGCTGTAATGTGTTGGTTTGTTTACATAAAAGATCTGACCAGAGCCAGCTCTGTGGCTCAGTGGGTTAAGCCACCACCTGTAGCTGAATACTGATTCTAGTCCCAGCCGTTCCACTTCCAATCCAGCTTCCTGCTAGTGTGGGTAGGAGGACAGTGGAAGATGGCTCAAGGTCCTATGAGACCTGAAAGAAGCTCTTGGCTTCTGCCTGGTCTAGCCTGTGTCATTGCAGTTACTTGGGGAGTAAACTAGCAGAAGGAAGACCTCTCTCTTTCTTTCTTTCTTTCTTTCTTTCTTTCTTTCTTTCTTTCTTTCTTTCTTTCTTTCTTTCTTTCTTTTTCTTTCTTTCTTTTACAGGCAGAGTGGACAGTGAGAGAGAGAGAGACAGAGAGAAAGGTCTTCCTTTGCCGTTGGTTCACCCTCCAATGGCCGGCGCGGCCGGCGCGCTGCAGCTGGCGCACCGCGCTGATCCGATGGCAGGAGCCAGGAGCCAGGTGCTTTTCCTGGTCTCCCACGGGGTGCAGGGCCCAAGCACCTGGGCCATCCTCCACTGCACTCCCTGGCCACAGCAGAGAGTTGGCCTGGAAGAGGGGCAACCGGGACAGAATCCGGTGCCCCGACCGGGACTAGAACCCGGTGTGCCGGTGCCACTAGGCGGAGGATTAGCCTAGTGAGCCGCGGCGCCGGCACTCTCTTTCTTTCTATAATTCATTGAAGATAATTATTTTAAAAGTAAAAAGTATTTTTAAGTAGGTAAATTTACAATAATTAAATAAAACTACATAAGAATAACATAAAGAGTAGGCTTGGGCCAGCATGTGGCTTAGCAAGTTAAACCACCAGCAACATCCCATCTGAGCACCTGTTAGTGTGCCTGTGAAAACCAAGAACTTGGGCCCCTGCCATCCATGTGGAAGACTCAGATGGTATATCTAGCTTTGATTTCTGCCTGGCAGCCCCAATTGTTGTAGCCATTTGAGAGAGTGAACAGGTTGGAGATCTTACTCCCAGACTCTGAAACTGCATTTTCAGAAAAAGACTGAATGTTCCATCATCTAGTTCATTCCCTAGACGGCTGCTGTGGCCAGGTCTGGGCCAGGCCAAAACCAAGAAAGTGGAACCCCATCTGAGTCTCTGACATAGGTGGTAGGAGCCTGAACACTTGGGCTTTCTTGTTCTGCTTTTTCAGGCCATTAATAGGTAGCTGGATCAAAAGTGAAGCAGCTGGGACACAAACCAGTGCCCATATGGGATGCAAGCCTTAAAGGCAGCAGCTTACGTTACACCACAATACCAGCCCCAATAAAAATAAATCCTAAAATATAATAAATAAAAACTGGACTCAAGTTTTATTCTGAGCATCTGTATAGTGTGTAATGTTGAAATTAAATTTTAGAATACTGTTTAATAGTAATTATAGTGGTGTAGAAATTGTTGCTAATATTGATTTATTAGGCTATCAGAGCTGTCAGTGGACATTGTTTTCATGCTATAAGTATCTTCTTTTCTTCTCTCAGCTTTTGAAGCACTTACTGAGTGGGAGTATTTGCCACCTGTTGGACCCCGGCCACCAGAAGGATTTGTGGGACTCAAAAATGCTGGTGCTACTTGTTATATGAATTCAGTGATTCAGCAACTATACATGATTCCTTCCATCAGGAACAGTATTCTTGCAATTGAAGGCACAGGTAGTGATACAGATGATAATATATATGGGGAAGAGAAGCAGGACATTGAGGTAAATTTTAATTATCAATTCTCTTTTCTATATTTGAAGATTCTGGTACCAGAATAGTGTACCTTCATAGGATTGTTTTCAACTGCATTTGGTAATTGTCTTAGAATCACTGAACTTACTCTTTCTATTGCATTGTAGTGCTCAGTTTTCTAATAGGCTTATTAAAACTTCATTTTAATAAGTTTTATTAGTTTTTTCTTTTAGAAAATTAGTCCTTTTGTTTTAAATTTTAAATATAATTTACTATTTGTAAAAAAACTACTCAATTTTACTTACTCCACAGTATGTCCGTTTCATTATTTATGCTTATACTTAGAATATCTTAATATTTTCTCAAATTACTGATTTTTCTCATAGGAAAGTAAACTTGTTTGTTAAATAATGCTAAATGATCTATTATATTAACAATGTTAGTTAACAGAAAAAATATTGCCATCCAAGACTACTTTTTACAGACTATAGCAGAATGAAAATTAGGTTAGTATCTCTGGGTATACATAGTGATATTGCTCTTACACATCTGGGAATAGGGTGCAAAAAAGTTTTGGTCATATTTATACCCAAATTGTTTATCTTTCTTCATTTATTCCTGTGTATAGAAACTGAATAAATGTCAATATTGTATATGGTTTATTTCTCCATTCTTACATTTCTTCCCTTAAGTGACTAGAAATTAGATTCTGTATAATCATTGCTTACAGAGGTTCTGAATTATATACCTGCCTTCACTCTTCTCACATCTAATAAATCTTATCAACTAGGCATTTGGTTTACTTTTTTGAAGTCTCTATGGGGTGCCCAAACCAATAACTGATCAAGAACAACACAGGAGAAAAAATGAAATTTAAAGCCTAGTTCTATACTCATTTTCTGTCACAGCAAGTTTAGTCATACTGGCAATAAGTAAATGAGGCATCTGACTTATGATAAATACTTTAAATTAAATATGTCACATTTACGCTTGGTTCCTTGTGCTTTAGGTTGTCTACACATGATGATAAATAGTGTCTATTTCCTATCTTGTTTTTCTTGACTGTTAACTTCTTAAGGGCAGAAACTAAATACTGTTTTTCTGTGTCAAAAGCCTCAGATACAAAGCAGAGTTCTGTAGCTACCAAGAAATGATGGCCTTATAGTTTTAGTCTATCCTGCTATTTCTGTCACAGTTACTCTTAATATCTGTAGTTATTTAGTGTTAACAAATCCATCATTTTATCTAAATTAGACCATATAAACCACAAAAAAGCAATAACAAAACTGCAAGAAGATACTTGAATCCTCCAAATGCCAATTAATTTATAGCCCCAAATTTACTTATGACTGAGCATTCATTTGTCTCCAATCAGTATTACTTCACCAGACTTTATTATACTACCACCAGTGGATGTTAAAAGATTATTATTTTTCATTTATGACTCATCTGTGATACCTTTTGTAACAACCTATCTGAATTAAGCATTAATACTATAGATTAAAAATTCAGTGCTTTCAGAGAAAGGAATACAAAATAATGCAAGTCATTCATTCACTACTTGTTATTTCTTTTTGCTTACTTCACTGTACTTTTAAAGTGAGTGAGGTTAGCTCACAATGGTGTTTTTTGGTCCCTAGATTAATGTTGATCTTCGAGATGATGTTTTTGGATATCCTCATCAATTTGAAGACAAACCAGCATTAACTAAGACTGAAGATAGAAAAGAGTACAATATTGGTGTCCTAAGACACCTTCAGGTCGTCTTTGGTCATTTAGCTGCTTCCCGACTGCAATACTATGTACCCAGAGGATTTTGGAAACAGTTCAGGTAAATAATAGGTAGATAAGCATATAATTTCTATAAAAAATCTCCATGTAATAAGTGTAAACAGATAAAATCTGTTAGAATTATTTAATATTTAGTTTCTTAAGATACAGTTAGCTTTCTATTTCCTAAAATACTAATACTAATTATCCAAAAATAAAATATGGTTAGTTCATTGAATCAGCAATTCTCAACTGCACCTATTATCAAATATTTTTGTGGGTTTTTATTTATATGTATTCAAAGTTTTTTAAATAAGCACAACCCTAATAATACCACATTTAAATGAAAACTCAAACTTTTCAGCATTATGTGACATGCCAGTCACAGCTTTAAATTTACCTAGTATTTCTTTTTTTGTTTTGTTTTGTGTTGTATTTTTTAAGTTGATTGACTTTTTTGTTGTTTGGCAGGACTGAGCAGATGGTTTGTAACCATCTGAAAAAATTACATAGTTTTTCCCTGTAAGATTTCCCAGAGTCTAGGTTTTCTAGACTATATTCTTAAAATGCTTATAGTATTTTGTGTATTATGTTGACTTGTAGGCCATTTGGTCTGTCACAGTTACTCAGCTGTGCTTTATATTAGGAAAGCAATCCAAACAATTCATACCTAAATGAATAGCAGTTGCATTTTTTTCAGTAAAGTTTTACTCATGACCCTAAAAATTGAATTGCATACAGTTTTCATCTGTCATAAAATATTTTTTGAGTTTTTTCCAACAATTTAAAGATCTATAAAGCCATTTTTAGTCCACACATTACATAAACAGTGGACCAAATTTTGCTCCTGGGATGTTTACTAAGTCGTATAATCAAGCAGCTTTATCAGATTTATTATCTCCCTTTTTGGATTCTCTTTTAGTGCAAGACTACTTCGATAGAGATTTTGCTTTCATGGGAAATTTCCAAATGTCTTTTATTTTTCTTTTTGTGATATTAAGAATTATCATTGACTAAATGTATTATTTCATCGGAGTTGTCGGATATAATTTTCTAATTTTATGATTCTTCATTAGTTAACTACAATGATCTCTAAAATAATTTGCCCATCAATTAATTAATTACCCTAGTGTACACATCTAAAAAGAAAATCAGGATAAATACAGTTTTGTTTTTACTTTAGAATTTATAAATTAATTCTGTAATCCCTTAGCATTTTCCTACATTAATATAATTGAGTGCTAAGATGTTAGATTTTAACAAACCAAGTTATGTGTTGATCTTACTTCCTTTGTTATAATACCTTTATCAAGACCTATTTGTGTTATACACACTGTTCAGACACTGAGGCATAGCTGCATAATTTTACTGTGTAGAAAATGGCTGCAATCTTTTATAGGAGTATGAGGTACCTCTCAGATAAGTCAGAAGTAGTTAAGCAGAGGAATCTTCTTAGTTCTGAGCCATCCTTTCTGTTTCAGTCCTAGTAGCTCCCCTTATATATATTCATTTGTTATTTTTATTTCTCTTAATCATTACACATTCATAGTACAGTGACAGTGACAAACCATAATGTCTCCATATAAATTGTTATACTCCCCAAGCTAAACTATTAACCTAGATCATTAGAATGATTTTCATATATTGTATTTCTTTCCTTTTGTAGTAATATACCTTCAAAAATGCATAGTTCTCTTCTATGCCTTTTTCAGTTTTTTTTTCAGTCCATAACTTAATCTTTCTCTAGCTGAAGACTTTTTTCAGCATTGTTTTCTCTTTGAAATTACTGTACTTTTACATTAAAACCTTTCACTCTAGTATTTGTGTTTTATTTGCTTGCATGTATTATGAGAATTAGATAATATGTAATTATTAATTACAGTACTATTTTTTAGGAAGAAAAATCACATTTAATATGTAATAGTTGTACTTTCCTAGAATATAAGTATATGAGTAAAATTTTATTGATTAAGATGTTTTTCATTAAATTATAATATATTTTTATTTTAAAAATAGTCTTATTTTTCTTCCTGGTAACGATCTTCATGTAATGTTAGAGTTCATACTTTAGCTAGCATTTTGTTACTATGTACAACTGGATATATATGTATGTGTTTACTGTATATTTTCTTTTTGTGGTTAACTTCATATTAAGAATAATTTCTCTATCTCACCTTTGACAGTTGCATCATTCAGTAACATTTTAGAATATTCAAAATATTTGTACAAATATCACTCATATCTAGAACATTTCCATGACACAGAAAGGAAACCCTATGCCCATAAAGAATTATTCCCTTGTCTCCCCAACTTCTTCCAAGCTTGACATCTAAAAATTACCATTTTCTACATTTGAATTTATTTATTTGGGATATTATACTAAAATTGTATAATATATGGCCTTTTCTGTTTCAGCTTCTTTCACTAAACACAAACATAAAAATAATGAATGAAACAAAAAATATAGGAAAAATGTTTTGTTGGATTTGTCATTGATTCTTTGGATTGCTCTAAAATACAGACATCAAAAGGAAAAACTAAACAATCTAGGATTCTGTGTTCAGTAAAAATGTCTTTCAGTAATTAAAAGGGCTAGTTCATTCTATATGAAACTAAAAAGCAGTTACCATACATCCTATTTCAATCACAGGAACATTAATTATACAGAAGAGAAAAGCTTTCAACTAAATCATAATAACCACAAGCTGGAAACAACCAAGATGATCTTCTGATGGTTGGTAACTAAACAAATTGAAACACCCATATCATACAGAAGAACACCTTGCACATCTAACAATTTCAGTGAATTCAGCATTATACTGAATGAGAAACAGCATCCCTTTCTCTTCTCTTTACATTCTAGAAATAGAGGATAGCTGATTGACAAATTAGGAGTGAATAGAATAGAAGGTAATGGGGTAGTTATAAAAACACAGATTCAGAGGTCCTTCTGGTGTTGTAACTGTGCTTGTATCTTGACTATCATGCAGGAGTCCAAAGATAGTGAAACTTCATGCAACTAAATATACTGAATTAAGCACAAATGAAACTTGAGAAATCTGAGAATCATTTGAGTTTGTACCACTCTGTTCTAGGTATATATTACAGTACCTGCCTAGTTATCTGCTAGATGCTGTGATTTACATAAATGAGTAGAAGATTTACATGTAGTATTTCTCTATGATTTTTTTTAATGTATATAAAGGTTTACTTTATTTGAAAGACAGAGTTACAGAGAGACAGAGAAAGAAGTCTTCCATCCCCATTCATTAAAGGTTTACTTCCCAGATGACCAATAACAGCCACAACTGGGCTAGTCAAAAACCAGAAGCCGGAAACTTCTTCCAGGTCTTCTACATGAGTTCAGGGACCCAAGTATTTGGATTATCTTCTGCTACTTTCCCAGGTACATTAGCAGGGAGCTGGATTGGATAGTGGAGCAGCTAGGTCTCCAGTCAGTGCCCATATGGGATGCTGTTACTGCAATTGGCAATTCTACCTGATATGCCACAGTGCCAGCCCAGTCTGTTATTGTTCCTTAAAACTTCACATGAGGGGCTGGCACTGTGGCTTACTTGGTTAATCCTGTGCCTGCAGCACCAGCATCCCACATGGGCACCAGGTTCTAGTCCCGGTTGCCCCTCTTCCAGTCCAGCTCTCTGCTGTGGCCCAAGAAGGCAGTGAAGGATGGCCCAAGTGCTTGGGCCCTGCACCCACATGGGAGACCAGGCGGAAGCACCTGACTCCTGCCTTCAGATAGGCATAGCTCCCACTGTAGCGACCATTTGGGGGGGTGAATCAATGAAAGGAAGATCTCTCTCTCTTTCTCTCTCTTTCTCTCTCTCTCTCTCTCTCTCTCTCTCTCTCTCTCTCTCTCTCTCTCTGTCAAATAAAAATAAAAAAACATGATTCTATAGTTATCATGCTTTTTGGAAAATTTTTAAATCAAAACATGGAAAACACACCTAAATTCACTAATAAAAGTTAAAAGAAGTAACCAAAGTCATTTTTGGAAACAGTATTTTCACTGTATGTAAAAGAAGAAAAAAAAGAACTGTATTAAACTGGTTATGTGGTTATATTTTTTGAAAGAATGTTAGATATTTACCAGAGGTAAACAGATCATAGCTAATTTGATAAGTTTTGGAAGAAGAGAGACAGGCAAGGAAAGGCATATTGTTTCAAGGAACCTTATAAAACTGGTGTGTGTGTGTGTATATACATGATTTATTGTATGTATGCCTTAAAAATGCAACATACATCACTTGACACTACTCTGCAGTAGTCAGGGAAAAACTTACCACTGTATGGGAGGAAAGAAACACATGAAAGGAATAGAGAGAACAGAGAACAGTACTCTCCAGGAGTGTGGAGAGTTTTCTAGTTTTCCATCATGAAAACTAGAAAAACTCAGTAATCCCAGGCATTCAGGAGTGTAAGGAATGCATGTGCCTCTCTAAGAGAAAAATGCCCAGAGCATACATAATCCTCACTGTTGAAAGACTAAAGACTTTTTCTGGATCAGAAATGGAGCAACTGTAAGATGAATCAGTACCCCTTTGGGATTTTGGTATCACAGGCAGTGCCTTAATATGCTGCACCATATTGCCACAATCCTACTTTCTGTGCATGGCAAACTCACTTGAACTGCAGCCTCAACCAGGGATGATCTGACATGTGATCCTACCATGAACAAGAAGATGAGTTTTATACTAGATAAGGAAGGGAAAGCCCAGATTGAAGAGATTCCCTTTGGAAATCAAGTAAAACCAGATTCAAGTAAGGACAAACGTATGGAAGCTGATGAAGAGGACAGTAGACAAAAAAAGAAGCTTCTGACAATCTAGATGATTTGAACTTCTTCAATCAAAAGGAAAAGAAGGGGCCGGCGCCGCGGCTCACTAGGCTAATCCTCCGCCTAGCAGCGCCGGCACACCGGGTTCGCGCCCCTGTTGGGGTGCCGGATTCTGTCCCGGTTGCCCCTCTTCCAGGCCAGCTCTCTGCTATGGCCCGGGAGTGCAGTGGAGGATGGCCCAGGTGCTTGGGCCCTGCACCCCATGG